CCCGCCCCCTACCTGCCGCACTAGCGCCCAGTCTGCACGGCCGGGCTGCACCGACATGCACACATATAACGATTTATTTTCATTTTAAGATTATACAGTCCTTATTCTTCGTATATAATGTGAAAAAGTTCCTTTATCTTTGTACGAGGTGTACAAAATATAAATTATTCGATTATTGTTTTACGTATGATGTGTGGTGTGGGCACGGGCGGCCTGCTCCCTGCCCCTGCCCCTGCGCCGCATACTGCGTTACTGCATTTGCATTATACAATCACAATTTGTTTTAGTAATATTACGAAATCACAAGTTAACTAGATAGAGTTATATCTCGTTTATTTTAAGTGTTTATGTATAGATTGAGTGAGGAAGTCCCGCTGGTCCTCGGGGATATCTTAATCACGTTAGTATTTTTTTAATGAAAAGTTTAAAGATGGAAGAATGTGAATTAAAAAAAAATTGAAATTAATTTCACCAAAAAGTATTGATGAATTCTTCAAATTATTTTTCTATGATTTATAGAAGTGAAAAGAGGCTTTTTGAAATAATTTTGATCGGAAAAAATATTTTTAACCGTTGTTTGAGTTATCGAAAATGAATGTATGTTTTCTAAGAGTATATAATAGAAAGCACAAAAGTGTTATGTAGGTCTTGTTATGTTCCACGCGGCCTACTGTACACGCACTAGTTGACTGTACATTTGTTAAACTCATATTTCGACTAATAACGTATACTAAGTTATTATCTATATAAAGAAAATATATATCGTAAATGTTAGGTATCGCATAAGTAATGAATGGATGTTGCCAAATGATCTCGCACAGAGTGGAGAACGCTTGGGAAAAAGCTAAATAGATTGTTGAAGATTATACATACATCTACAACGTAATAGTTCAGTCTAGCAAGAAGCATAAGAACTGACCGGAGCAAGAAATGTAAATGTCTTCTTCATATGAGCCTGCCGCAGGTCAACTGAACGTGTGAAATGAACACCGCTAAGGTCATCGTTATGTCTTGAATAGACTGGTATAGCATTATTTTATTTTTTAATTAGAAAGAGATGTTTATATAACATGAAATAGTTGATTATTTACTTGATCCAAGGTATTATCATTCTTTACCTTATTTTCCCTATTAATGAGTTTTTAATAAAGAAACATCAGCAATAATTTTGCATATCGAGTGTGCTGTTATGTTGAACTTTACAGCGATCTAACAGTGGCGCTGCTCTGTCACTCTAGTTTCCTAGTATTGCTGGTTTGTAATAGAAATAAATATCACTTATTGGACTATGTTGTTTAATTTATTATTTACTCTAATACACTATTAAAATACGCCAATCATGACAAGGCGAGTTTTAATGCAGATAAATAATTAAATGTTGGTTGTTTCATAAAAACAATTTAAGTTACCAAGTCTTATATGAAATATAAATTGTGAAATAAAAAAGGTCAAATCATTGTTTTCTTATAAAAATCATTTTATAGCAATACTGGATTTATGTCACTTTGACTTGGAATTTGCAAACTGAATGACATTTGTCATTTCGCATTGTTCGACCAATCAGCGTCAAGGAAGTTTATTTACGCGGGAGTGGATTGGCCGGCGGCTGACTGTAATATTTCTACTTGCGTGGTAGAAAAGAATAGATTTAGCAAGTGTAGAGTTGTTATCATTTGCACTTGTTATCACAAACATTGAAGTAACCAGAAGCATCGGCGCATCAAGGCTGTGCGGTGTCGCGGCGACTGCGACATAACTAGACAGAACAGCGCAACATTTCATTAAACAGGGTGAGTGACCTCCAAAAGAGGTTATTGACTTGCAAAATATTTATTACCAAGATGTTTTGATTCAGTAAAAAACATATCCTAATTTGTTATATCAAAATAAAATTAAAATCATATTTAATAACTACTAACTAACATGTTTTACTGTCTGCTTTTTTAAGTTATTTAGATTATGAATATTTTTCTATTAAATATTTGCAATAAACATTATGTTAACTCCAATCATAAACAGTGTAATTTATGCAATCGCTTGAGGAAACGTCGAGAGAGTAGAGGAAAGTTGCGTTTAAATAAATTAAAAATAAAAACTTTTGAGTACAAGGTGTAATTTCTTAATATATTTGCGTACGCCTTGCTAAAATCCACACATTTTTGTGTCTATAAGCCTTCAAGTAGTAAAATTCAGTGAATGTTTCTGCAAAAATAATTTAATTGACTTATGAATAGAATGAATAACCCTTTCAAGTATCGATGTCGATCTCATGTTGTTGATATTTGATAGTATTGTATGTGTGCAGGGCAACGACTCGTTATCTAGAGCCTCGGCCCCGCGCCACCTATCGCCTAGATGTAGGGGACCTCTTGAGTGCCTCTAAAATGTCAACAATACACGCGAATAATAGATTTATTTCATCATTATCCTCTTTGCAGACTTTACACGAAATACGTACAAAGCGTTTCAATTGAAAATTGTATGGTGATATAAATTATTGAGTGTAGAGTCGGTAGGTATCGCAAAGACCTTGTGCCCTTTCGTCCTGTCGTAACGCAGCGGCGGGCGGCGGAGGTCGTGCGTCGGCGCCTCACTACTGCTCACGTCACCGCTCAGCCGTGTCCTGCCCCCGCCGCCCGCTGGCCGCTGGCCGCTGCCCGCTAGGACGTGACCCGCTACCAAACGCGCTCATACCTGAATTAATTCAATACAACCTGTACGATTACGATATCCACAAATTATTAGTATAAAGTCTAAACTTTTGTTATCGTATATTCATTATTTGGATGGCTCCTAATTCTTGTTTAAGTTAACGGAACTCTACTTTTTAAACTTGGAACGTTGTTTAATGTGAGTTCGAAGCTAGATTATAAAAGTTTTTAAAATTTTTTTATAGTATTTTCATCGCTATTGCGAGAGAACCTCGGGAACTGTCTCTACCACTGTTATACAATTAGTGATAACTTCTCTGTACCTTAATTAACTATATATATTTTTGCATGATGCGAGCACAGCGAACCACAACACGATGACTGCTGCATCATCTTGTATTATCTAACTCCATACACGTTTCATTGAGAGTATTGTAGTCGCAGATAGCGGAGCGATGCGGCTGATCATCCTGGAGGACGCGGAGGTGGTGGCGGAGTGGGCGGCGCGCTTC